TATATATATAATGTGTGTGTTTGTGTATATATAATCGTAAAGCGTATGCATAGAGAACTTATAGCTCCCTAGTATTTATAATTGATGATTGCAGCAAATATAAACACAAAGCAAGGATTACAGCCAGCACATAGGCGTAAATGAGCGCGTCGATTACGCCGTGTCTTTTAGCCCAATTGAATCAATAGACACTGTATACATACTTGCCACAAGACTCGCGAATTGTCAACAAGTACGCAGACATTGATTTCAATAATGAAACAGAAGGCGAGTACAGAATTACATACGTATCTGTACTTCGTGGAGTAGTCTTTCGGTGCAATTACGAGACCCCGTCCCTTCTTTGCTCCTCTGTACACCGTTTCCACGATGTCAATCAATTCTTGTTTTTGCTGCAAGTATTCAGAAAGTTGTACGTTAGTAATGAGCACACATACATATACAGACAGAAGGTGTCCTGATAGAAACCAGAGTATCATCTGTTATTTTGCAATAGAAACGTGTTGTCCAAAAATGTATGCGCCGAACAAGAACGAGATCCATACCTCCATGGCCCAGTTTATCTTGTTATTGTTACCCGTTCCCAGGTCCATCATCATATGCTTGTTCCTAAAGAAGAACATAATGGTGCAAGGGTCGTATAACTCATACATCTTGTTGAAGTCAGGTGTCTCTGTTATATCCACGAGGTAAATTACAGCAAAATTCTTCACCTTCTCGGCGATACCGAACAAGGTTTCATCCATTTTCATACACTCAGGATCCCAGTCGTGTCCGAATCGCAATATGACCACTCTCTCCTCTTCGGATAAGATAGCCTGGTCTACTTGCCAGCCATTCGTGAGATGCGGAAGCATGTACGACATAATGCCGGGAAAGTTTTCTATGTCAGTTGAAAGCCGTGCTACTAGTATCTATTCAGTATAATTCCGAACTAGCGTGTTTACTTTTTTACATAAGTAGCTTCATAGCCATTTTTTAAATAAAAATTACTTGGAACATAGACTACCCCGCAGGGGAGAGTGAGCAGAGCTCAGTACCGAACTTTCTATGATATTTGCTATGTACTCAATTGTTCGTCATCAATTTTGTCAATACATATACAGAGCCTCAGAGGCCGGTATCTTGTACTTTAATATTTTTAATAAACAAAATATAAAGTACACAAATAGCTGTCTAATTTAGAAAACATATTGTGACAACCTGTAGAAGCCAAATAAAGTTCTTATTTAAAAATATATACATCGAAACTTCCCCATATTTATTTTTCACGACGGACCTTTGATTCAAATTTTCGCCTCCGAAACGTAAATCTCGGTGACCAGTAGGTCACCAGTGTAGAACTGAATACCACTTTCAAAAAACCCACAGACCCCACCAAAACGTTGACTTGAAATTTGGATTTTCAATCAAAAAATAATAATATTTAATATCCAATAGGGAGTCTGGGGATCCCACAGTCCCACAGTCCCACAGTCCCACATCCGCGAAAAATGTCGAGCCAGGCCGAACCCCCAATTGAGACGTTTGTCCCCAACGACTCCTTACCCAATGACCAATGGAAATTGGACATACAAAAATCTATCACAAACCTCTCTGCCCAGGTCAGTACTCTACAGACCAATCTCAATCAAATTTTGGGACCGGCTCTAACAACCCCGAACAATGATGGGCCCATCTCCAAGGAGCCTTTGACTGATGACCAATGGAAATCAACTATACACCAAATGCTCACTAACCTCTGTGCAAAAACAAACAACCTTGAATCCGAACTCCGGGACCTTAAATCCCAAACCCGTGCACCTATAAATGAAGACACACCCGACACTTTCCGATTTGGCTCCACAAGCCCGCCTGTTCCGCCTGCGAAAAGACCGCGGTCACAGCCGCCCAATAGCAGCAGTGAGCCTCCCAGCTACCGCTCAAAAGTGGACAAACCTACAAAACCGAGCCCTAAAAAACGCCCGACCCCACCAGCTTCTCAGTCCCAATCGCAGCCGCCAGTACCCGAACACCTTTTGACGAAAGTGGTGGGCCGCCCGATGCCGGACAAAACTCTTCATGAAATGGATGACATAA